TAAGGGCTGGTTACGTGACTGATGGAGTAGAGTTATTATAAGGGAAGTGCCAAACTCAGTTTTCTGAATGGTCTCTTTGGTAACTGAGCATCTGGTGAAATAAGTTATTTGTGGCATTGCTCCAATCACTAGCGAAAGCAGCCTCAGGTTAAATTAAAAAAGCTGTCAGTGGGGTTGATACTTACGACAATGAAAGTACTCCTCATGCAAGCACCGTGAATTTCAATAGCATTTCTGGTTTGTGACTTTCAAGTCATGCCTGTGAGCAGAATACCCTGCCTTGGGAAGTGCGAAACCAGCAAGTGCTACACCAACCCCGGAAAGGAAGGTCTTTTTATACCTTCAGACTTGATCGCAGCGTCTCTGAAAAGCCCGCTCGCTCCTCCTTGTTGAAGTTGATCCAGGTTTCTATGGCAACTGTTGGATTCTGAGAACATGGAACGCCATCTGCGGTTTGGGGACAGAAAGGCATTTATGATATCTAGACAAAGGTATATGTACTCAGGAACATCCTTTTCCTGCGACTCTCTCCCCCCACAAACCCTACTTTCTAGAGAGGGAAGAAAGATACAGAGGTTTATAGATTTTGGCAGGCATGATCAGCACTCCCAGCCAGACTTCTACATGAAATTAGTTTGGATAAATATCAGAAGACAGAGCTGCCAGGTCTTAAGCACTTTGGATGAGTTTCAACAAAGGAACCTATATCTGAGAGAAAGAGGGCAGGGAAGAGAACTTACATGCTTTGTAACGAAAAATATTCTCTTATTTGAGAATCTCAGCAGCTGCCTGCCTTTTTGGCTGATCCTAGAAACCTATTTAACAAAAGTCATGTGCAGAAATTTTCCTTCTCTGAGCGCTGTCAGACAGCTGACCCTCAAGACTGAGCATCTGGTGTTGCTGCTATCCTCTTAACATTTGGAAATCCCCAATGAGCTACTATAGCTTTCCTTAGCAGTGTGACAGTAGGAAACACTCAACAGACTGCATCAGGTTTCAGTTTGTTTCCAGACATAATTAGAAGTTTTGGTTATGCCACAAACTATTGCATCTTCGTCATCGGTACATTACCTAGAAGATTTTAGGTATTCACTTCCAGTTTGAAAGCCAGCCATTATGCCTGTGTTCATTGAGAGGCTTCCCTATGAAGGCTCTCTAATTTTGTAGTCTGCTCTCATGACAAAACCTGAGTTCAATGACGTTGAAGGCATCAGACAAATTCCAACACCTTTCTCTATACTGGAAGGGAGGAGAAAAATAGTGGAACAAAAGCAGGTATTTTAACTCTGTTTATCAATAAAAGGGATTTCCATAAGCTATCCATCACATGTAGTGGTTAAATGGAAAAACTTTGATTTTGAAATGGGTCCTAGAGTGCCAGAAAAGGTAAGCTTAATAAATTACTACTTCATTAAATTAATTTTAATCCTTGCCACTAATAGCTTCCTCTATTTAATTCTCCATTAACTAAACAAAGGTGCAGGAATTGCAAAAGAAAAAGATTTTCCCTACCAGCAGTAGGAATGTATTTCAGATCTTAATCCATTTTATGAGCCAAGTTTCAGCATAAATATTGAGTAATGTGATGTACATAGAAATAGATGATGCACGGAAAAAAAAGGTTTTATCAAGCAATTATTTTAATTTAGGACCACAAATACTAAAGGCCATAGTCCTAAAACTATTGTTACTACATGGAATCCCTAAGAAGTTAAGGATGATTGACCTCTATGGCTTTATTTCACAATTTTAGGATTTTTTTTTTTAAATTAACTCACAACTTAGTTTAAAAACTGTAGGTAGATAGTTACCAAAATTAATCTAATTTTATCACAATTTTTTTGAGCTATCAGTACCTATTCTCAATAGGTTTTTGACTGTGAATTTCTTTAGATGCAACAGAGATACAGTGCAATATCTGTAGACTCTCATATGCACAGCGTCGACTTTAAAGGCTATTTTAAGTCTTACAGATAGATTTGCCAGTATTCCAAAGAAGCCAGTCATGGTAGGTTTATTGTTGTAACAGCATATAAAACACATGACACAAAGTATAGTTATTTACTCATTTACAGAATTATTTAATTGAAGCAAGAAAGGGGCAATGCCTCTGGTCCCAAATCCAGCACATTTCAACGTATGAGCTGCTTCTACGTTCTTGCATCCTCTAGCAATGATACATAAATGCACAAAAATGGAGTTGTGACTGCAGCATCATGGAGATGTTTTCAAGTACTGGCTGTACCTACTGGGGCAGCAGAGAATATTTAAGGATTGGTGGCAGTTGGACTAAGTTGTTGTGTGTTGACACATCCTTCACAACACTGAGTCATTGCATCCATTAGTTTTACAAGAAGGGCAATTACCGTATTACCTAAGATGTTACAATGCCTTTATTTCAGTCAGCTGAGTGCCTAGTCTAAATAATCCTAACAATTATATACAACTGTTAATAACACTAACATATTATAAAAATATGGCTTGTGCTCAAGCCTTCTTACAAATGTTGAGTTGTTGCATTCCTATGTTAAATGATTAAGAGCTAAAGAAAAAAAACCCACACTGTCATAAGATGTTATTTTCTGGTAAGGCTTCTTTGGTTTACTTTTAATGCAAACAAAAATACAAGAAATTGATGAAAGATACTAAGTTATGTTTAAAACACCTGTAATACTTCTGACCTGTTGACTTGGGAACTGCTTGGAATTACCAGCATCCTGTATGTCCCTTTTCTATAGCTTCAAGTCCAGTAACAATTAATAGTTTTTTTTCTGATTAAGTCATCCAGAATGTTTTGCTTTGCTTCGCAAAGCCTCTGAATAGACAATGATTATGAAAGCTTGGATCTTTCCATCTCTTTTGTTCAATCTCTGAGACTCTCTGAAAGTCTCTTTCTACGTCCACATCCTGGCTAGTTGCAAGAACTCCTTACCTGTAAGAATGTCTGTCAGTAGGCGGAGAGGCAGGTGTAGGAACTCCTCTGTGTCTTGCAGTTGGGACAAATGTGACTTTGCACAGTGTTTGGCAGCTGTGTAGAGCTCCACGTCACTGTGTTGATCTGCCAACCACATGACCTGCAGACAGTTCCTAACCTGCACCGTACGGGCCAGAAAACGGGAGCACTCTTCAAAAAGGGCAGTCAGCTGGTACATGTCTGCCACTTCATAGGTTTCCTGCAACTCCTCTGCCCTCAGCTTTACAGTCCCATGGTAAATATAGTCCACAAGGAGCTGAAAGACACTCTCACTAACGTCCTGCAGCTCAATCACCCGGTTGTGGGCCTCCTTTAGGTTGGAAGTGAACATAGAACGAAAAAAGCAACTCTGAGCTGAGAGGACCAAACGATGCAGCTGGAATTCTTTGCCTTCCACTGATATTGTAACATCAGCAAAGAGCTCATCCTCCAAGCATAATTTCATAATACCCTGGGCCACACGTCCTGAGTGGGAGCGGTCGGTGAAAGTGTAGTTCACAAAGTAGTTTTCTTCTGCGGAGGAGCCTCCAGTCTCTTCTGATGAGTCCATGGTGCTGCACAGATCAGACCTCCAGCAATCTGTAAAATCACAATAATTGTATGACTTTCTCTCTCCACTAACAAGATTATGCAATACTTCAGGGTACAGGGAAAACATATTGGTAAGAAGCCAGCATATTTTGGACTGAATATAAATAGCACAGCCAGAAACTTTTGCCTGAGCTTCAGAATCTCAAACAACAAATGAGAAGTTGGCATAATTAAAATTATAATATATACTAAACTTCCAGTACAGTGAACATCACTTCCCATCAGAACCAGGAGATGTGCATACGTTTTCATCACTCATTTCAGCGACACAAAGAACTGCAGCAAGAGTTATTCAAGTGGAAAGTCCAGCAACCACCCTAGGAGACACAGGAAGCCAAGAGAATGTGACAGCATAGCTGTGCTAGATTGAAAAAGGATTACAGTATTATACTAACAAAGAGCACAGACAACAGTTCATATCATCCAAAACCAACATAATGAATCTGTGGTACCAACTAAGGTGAACTTGTTTTTACCGAAAAGATGCACGAGAAGCCTGCCAGTCATAACCACCAGTCCTCCAAGCTAACCAAATGAGATAACTGATGGTTATACTCCATTTGTTAATGCGCCAGACACCTTCATCATGGAAAAGAAACTGTTAGATGTTGTTAGCCACTGCTTCCTAAGTGGCAAGGAGAACTCAGTTTAAAAGATAACACCTCTTAGTAGGTACCAGAGATTGTTTGCAGAGTTCCAAGCGGTTTGTGGGTCAAAAAAGCTTCTGAACCAGAGAAGGACTGCTGTAGAAAAGACCACTTTTTTAACATGGCTCTTGACACCATTAGGAGCAAATAGATGTCCGTCTGCATTCAGTTTAAACTTATTTTTACACTTCAACTATCAGCCACGGTGACTGATATCACAAATTTCTGCAATTAATACTGAACATGATTTCCAGTACAATGTTTCCCAAAGATGGGATTTTTCTCCAGGTGACTCATAGTTATTCTTCCATGCTTTATTTTGTCAAACACGCATTTTCTCACAATAGCTCTGCTTGATACAGGAGGGCTCCTAATTTCTTTGCTCAAGTTCTATTCACAGGAAGTAGTGCCTATATCCCTTGTTGGCTGGACAAGTCCATCCCATCCCTGATGATGGCCTGCCTTAATTACACCCTTATTGTAATCTTTCAAGAGTTCTGGTCTGTCTGAAAAACACCTATGCATCACTCTGTAAGAGGCCATTCAATTAGCACAGAATACATCGTTACTATTTTTCTAACTTTACCAAGTACAAGCCTATCCCGCAAACTGGCTCCCACTTCAGTTAAAGCTATCGATCCTTGCAGTCAAGGTGCTCAGAAGCTGCAGCCCAGAACGCTGGAGCAGAGCACCAGAATACGGACGGATGAACTACTCTGCCCTCTTGGCAGGGCAGAACCAGCTGCCCCCACTGCTCTGCACAATTTCCAGAGCGTCGCTGCCAAGCCATGGAAGAAATGCCAACACCAGCTAAAGACTACCGCAAACCTCATATCCTTCTTTGTAAACAGAAAACTCCCATTTGCATCCATGGCATCGCCACGATAAAGAAAAGAGAGGCGCAGGAACAGTAAAAAAAAGCCTCCCATAAAGCAAAATGGTACACTCCATGCTTATGTTGCATTGCCCAGGCAATGACCTGCCCCACGCCAGGCTATAGGTGACCACGGCGTAACCGACCCCCGGCGCACCTCCTTCCTCGCTGCCTCCTGACAGGGTCGCGGATGTCGCGACAGCGCCTGGGATGAGGGATCCCATACGCCCAACCGACAGC